ATGCCAGCTGTCCAGTGATAGCGCGGTTGGCTGGGAGCCGACTCCGACTGGCCGTGGCTCCCGCCGTGGACCGGCTCGAGGGTGTGCTGTTGCTGAGTGGTTTTCACAGATGGCGCTTCTAACCCTGCGCCTGTATGCGGCGTTCATGGCCAGCAGTGCTGTCTGGCATGGACGAGCGACAGTCGCGACCGATGTCTGGATGAAGGCCGTGGCAGAAGCGGCGGGCAGGGATTCGCCGCTCTGGCTCATTGTCGCCACCCTCTGGAACACTTCCCCCAATCGTCGTGGCCATCAGCGCCACCGACAAGCCAACCACCAGCAGCAAAGCCACCGACGACCGCAGACCGGCAGCACCCAGAGCGACCACTGACCCAAGGACAAGCTGCAACGACGACAGCAGACCAGCAACCAGTAGAGCAACAACTGACTGTCACAGAACCACAGCACTACGAACAACAAGCAACGACCACCATTCCATAAGCAGCGCCAGCAGCTCAACAGCGACCAACAATGCCGACGAACGCCACCTACCAGCATCACCATCGACCACCCGCCCCGCCGACCCGCGCCAGCAGACCAGCAGCCCAACCGACCACCGCGAGTCAGCATCGCCGCGAAGCCCAGCAGACCCACGGACCATCAGCGCCACCGACAACCCAACAGCCACCAGCAGCAACGCGGCCACCGACCATCATGGACCAAGAGCGCCACCAACAACCACTGATCCACAGACCAGCGGCAGCGACGACAGCCCACCAGCAATCAATACCAACAAACGCCACCGACCAGCACCACCACCGCCGACCATGCGCCCCACCGACCCACGCCGGAGTTTCAGTAGCCCAACCGACCACAGCAAACCAGCAGCGCGACGAAGCCAAGCCGACCCACAGACCAGCAGCGCCGCCGATAACCCAACAACAACAACCAGCACAGCCACCGATTACAACATACCAGCAGCAACGCAAGCAAATAATGAGCCACAGACCAACCAGCAGCGCCAACAGCAGACCGGCAGCCAGCAACATCACAGCCGACCACCGCGGACCAACAACACCACCAATAACCGCCGACCCTCATATCAGAAACAACGACTGTAGCCCGCCAGCAACCACCAACACCAATGACAGACACTGGCCAAAGCCGCCAGGCGGAGCAGAACAATTGCACATATAGAACAGTCGATCGCACAAACAAGTCCTCGGTCACTTTGGGCAGACGACCGTGTCAGCGAGGTAGTCAAGGAGCTCGAAGGCGATCATTGGGATTTTGCCCTTATCAACGCAACGTGGAGAGCAGCGGCCGAGGAGTTTTGGGCAACCTCGGAAGGACATGCCTTCGCTGGGTCGGGCAATGACGAAGCGTGCCAGGGAGTTAGTTGCTTTGATCATGCGTCGACGTTGGACCACACGCATTCAGCGATTCCAAGCGCTTTCGCCCAGACTGGCCTCGTGTGACTGGAATTACAACTTGTGATCTCAACGCGCAGGTTGGAGTTTCCGTCGTTCCCGTAGACGCAGACGACGACCGCTCCGACGCCTTCGATGACGCCGCCTCCAGACATGTTGGCCGCCGCGGATGCGGGGGCCCAAACTCGAGGGGCACCTGGCAGCGTCATTGGGCAACCCAAGTGGGCCTCGCCATTGTAAGCTCCCCAATTGGCTTGCCTGCGGAGCTTTTGCTTGGTTACAGGTTGGTGCCTCGGGTGGCTGCTTTTCCTGTTCTTCGGAGGTTTCCTGGGTTCCTCAGGTTTCTCGGTTTTCTCGGGTTCTTAGTGTTCCTCGGTTTTTTCGGATTCCTTGGGTTCTTCGGGTTCCTCGGGTTCCCCGTGATTCTCGGGTTCTTCGGGTTTCCCGAGTTCTACAGGTTCCCCGGCTCCCTCGGTTGCCTTGGGTTTTCGGGTTCCTCGGGTTCCCTGGGTCGGGTTCTTCGGGTTCCTCGGGTACCTCGGGTTTTTCGGGTTGCTCAGGTTCCCCGGTATCCTCGCGTTGCCCGGGTTTCCCGGGCTCCGTGGGTCCCCCAGGTCCTCCAAACAATCCAAAACAATGCCGAGCGATGCCGAGCAATGGCAAGCCAGGCGAAGCAGTGCGAAGCAATGCCAAGCAATACCAAGCGATGCCAAGCAATGCCAAGCAAAGCTAAGCAGTGCGAAGCAATGCCAAGCGACGCCTTGGAGTGCCAAGCAATGCCAAGCAATGCCGAGCAATGCCGAGCAATGCCAGGGAATGCCAATCAATGTCAAGCAATGCCGAGCAATGCCAAGCAATGCCGAGCAAATCCAAGCAATGCCGAGCGCTGCCGAGCAATGCCAAGCGATGCGCCCAGCGATGCGCCAATGCAGTCGGCTTTCCCCGAAATGGCGTCGCGCCAGGTTCGTGCGTCCGTCCGCGAGACGGTGCGCCGAAGTCGACCGGCACAAACAGCTCGAACGCGCAGTGCTGAATCACGCATTTCTCCAGTATATTGCACCAGCGCAGAGGCCAATAACGGGCCGACCTCGGCTTCGACCACAAGGCTGTGACCGTTGACGCGCGGATGCCGACCGCAATGGCGCAGGCGATCGCGACGCGACGACGGAAAACATCAGCGACGCCGCGCCTCCGCGCCCAAATCTTTGACCGGAAATATCATCGACGCGCAGGTTTTTCAGAGCCGCCGACGGCTTGACATTCAACGGCGCAGATGATCTTCCGACCCGCGAGCGCTGAACGAACGCTTCCAGCGCGTCATCGTCGACGCCGCTGCCGCCGGTGGTGCCGCGGCAGAGCCGGCGCCCCCAACCAGTTCGCCAGCAATCCAACGACCCGACCAAAGATCGACGCGACTAGATTATTCAAGCGCGCAGCGACAGCGCGCGCCCGCCGACGACCGCCGCGCCCGCAACCGACCGAACAAATTCATGCGACAATAGGTTGGAGCACAGGAGCGGGCGACGCGACGGGCCCATGTAGCCGGCCTGCTTGAGCAGTGATTTGAGGCGCATCCTGCGTTGCAAAACGTGTCGGAAACGAAGTCCGATTGCCCGTGTGACGGGCAAGGAGGGCGCCGAATGCACGACGCGAGAGAAAATCTCAAAAGTCTTCGCTGAGTTCTACGCTCAGTTGCGCAACTCGTCAGCAGACGGGACGCGGCCAAAGCGACCTCGGGGCGACCCCCCGCCGGCCACCGAGCAGCAGGCGGATCGGCAGACAGACCAGTTGACCGAGCAGCAGACTTGCGGCAGTCCAGCAGGCCCGGGCGCCGGGCCAGCCGACCGACCAACAGAACAGCAAGCCGACCGCCGACCGGCAGACCGGCAGACCGACCGCCGACCAGCAGACCCGCCAACTCACTTTACCGACCACTGACCCGCAGACCGTCAGACCAGCAGACGGAGCGCCGGGCCCGCCGACCGCCCAGAGGCTCAGCAGACAGACCGCTGACCCTCGTCCAGCAGCGCATCAGGCGGACTACTGACAAACCGACAGGCAGACCCACCGACAATCGGAGCGACCAAGCGACGACCGCGCCGACGACCGGCTGGCAGACCGACCGCGGACCGCCAACGAGCAGTCCAGCGCGCCGACGACCGATTGCTGGCCAGCAGACCCACCGACCATCATTTTGCATTTTGCACATTTTGTTGCAGAGGTAAGCACGGTGATCAATGGTTTCCAGCTTGTCAAAGCCCCCGATGCCAAGGGCTTCCGCGCAGACATGCTCGTGGGGGGTGCGAAGCAATTCTGTTCCTTGCGCCGCCTTGACAGCGCGACCTTGCGGCGCAGCGCCCCGCCGCTGGCCGGCTGGGCGAGCGCGGTCGCCGCAGTATTGTCGAGCGATGCCATTGTTGCGCGAGCTTTTCAGCCGATTGGCACGCGGCTGGCTACGGCCGGCGCTTGATTCCCACCGGACTGCCGACCAGGGTGGCATCGGACTGGGCCGCTCGACCGCAGACCACCCTCACCTTCCACTTCTTGTGTGGGCGTGGGCGCAAGTGGGGCCAAAGTCCATGGGTTGTCCCGTTCGGTTTCACAAGCTGTCGACTAAGTTGAGCATGGGGGCGTGGGGGCAGCGCTGAGGGCGCGAGGCTTTCAACCCAGATGCCTTGCGCTACCTCAGCAGCTCCACGAGGGGCACGGAGCCGCGGTGAAGACAGAAGTCAACAGCAGACCCTTCAGCAGTCTGTGGGGCGCGAAGCAGGGCGACCAACTTAGCTTCCTACTCCTCAGCGCTCTTCTACAACGCATCCCTAGCCCGCCGGTCTCCGAATGACAGCGGGCGTGGAGGGTTTGAATGGGGGTTCGCGGGCGCCGCGCTTGCCCGCCTGCGTTTCGCTGGCGACGTGCTCCTGCCCAGCAGAGAATGCCCGCACCTGGTGGCGATGATCGGCGACGTTGCGCGCGCGGCGCAGCCGCGGTGGCTTGACCGACGCCCGAGCAAAGCGAAAATGCCGAGCAGGCAGACGAAGAGGATGGGGGGGGGGCGAGCCCGCGCGCATCGCGTGTCCAAGACAAAACATGGGTATAGAAGTCATTTCGTGCGGGGGCAGCCCCGAAAACCTCGGCCGCTCGATCGCTTTCCACGGGCAGGTGGGCGCGGGAATCGCCGCCGCGCGAGAGCAGCATGGGCATCGTGCGTTCCTCGCGCGCAAGAACTGACCAGCAAATGTTGCCCATCTGGCTCGCCAGCTCAGGCTATTCAGCGGCGCAGTAACGCCGGCGACATAATGCGGGGCAGAGACGCGGGCGCTCGCGGAACCCCTGTGGCAGCACCTTCGACGGGCGCAACGACGCATGCTGCGCGCGGTCATCAGAGCGCCGCGGCGACGCACAACTCAACGAGCAGACCGTCGCCGCATCCAGAGATCCATTGTTTTCGTCGGCGCAAGCAACGAGGCGTCAGACAACGACCAGAGCACCGACGGCACTAGCGACGACGCACAACGAGCAGCACCTAATGAAAATTAAAGGCGTCGACAATTGGATAACAGTACATAGCAGTACACAAGCGAAGAGTATGGCGCATGGCTTCAAGGGTCGCAATCTACAACCGAACATGGTTGACATGACGAGTGCTGCGCTGGCAGCCTTGCCTCAGCCGGCGCCATCAGGGACGGAGGCAGCACGGTCGCCAGTCCAAGCGTTGGGACGACAAAGTCAACCCCTATTTACACCAACGCGGACCAGACCCCTACCGACCGTCCGCATGCACCCAATCGAGACGACAACCAAACGATACCACATGGACGCAAACAGCCCAAAATACAGACCTCACACCAGCAAACACCCAGGACCCAGACCCATAAGATGAACGCCCAAAGGAAGTCGAAACGACACGCCCAGCCCGCGCCGACACCGACACCAAGGACTTCGTCATCCTTCTTCCTCCTCACCTCTTAACTTCTGATATGTCTGTCACTGCATGTATCCACACGAGCCAGATTTTCGAGGCGACGGCCTCATTCACCTGGTATGAGCTAGGCCCAGACGCTGCCCGCAACGGTGGTCGCATCGCATCGCATCGCGTCGCGTCTTCCTCTATTCCAGCATACAGTTCAACAGCTTCGCGCGTGCTACTTGGTGGCCTTCGCCTACGCCGTGGCTTGGGATCTTCGCCTTGTTCGCGTTCTGACACCAGCATCTGTTGTTGTCGCTTCATTGGCATGTCGTGTGCCTGCTGCGCGCCTCCCTCCTCTTCCCTCCCCCACTCCTCCTCCTCCTCCTGCTCCTCCCCCTCCTTGTTTGCCCCTGTCCGCCCTCTTGTTCCCTCGCTTTCGTATTCGGCCAAGTCCAGAAAGTACAGTTCTTGAGTCAAAGTCGTTGCATCAAGATGTTTTTTCCTTCCGCGTGGCTTGAACGACCTGCCTGCGGACGCCATGGCAGGCGCAGTTCTGCCACGAGGTTGTTCCCGTACTCGGCGTTCACGCTGTTGGGTAATCCGCAGGTGCCGCCGCTCCACGTCCAAATCGGACGTCCTCCTCCTCCTCCTCCGCCAAGGAGGCCCCCAAAATGCCTCCAAGAGGCCCCCAGGAAGCTCCCAGGAGGCCCTAAGAGTGTCCCCAGAGGCTCCCAAGGCGCCCCCCCTCCTCCTCCCCCTTCTCCTCCTCCTCGCCCCCCCAGTGCTCCCCTCGCGGCGCCGACGCGTTTCGAGGGTCAACTCGTATCGTTATAAGTGCCAGTATTTCCGCCCCACTGAATTGTTTTTTCCCCTGCTCGGATCCTGGGCCATTGCTCGAATTCGGGGCCGCTGTTTTGATCTCCGATGTCATGTATAACCCGGATGCCGTTCGCTGAGTGCTTGCCCCCCCCCCACGTGTGTAGCTCGTGCACCTACCGTGCGGCAGGCGGTGATCGTTGGAGGCTCCGTGGTGTTGTCCCTGCCCATTTTTTCCCCGAAAAGATCGCCGAAGTTTGGGGCATCTTCTCTCAGTGGAGGTAGTCGCCGACATCGGTGTTGGTGCCAGCCTGAGCGCTGCCCAGGGTAGGGAACTCGTAGGAGGAAGAGGGATATGATGGGGGAGGCGCAGGAGGAATACATGGGAGGAGGACGCAAGGGGAGGTGACGGATTCGGATCTGGAGCGACTGCGGAGTAATCTCGTTTGGAAGCTGTTTGGAAGCTCATTCGCGCTCCACTCGACTCAGGTGTTCTCCTCTCTGGGGGGGGGGGCAGAGGAGGCCTGGACAGGGAGGGGAGCAGTGGACTGCCATCAAGCAGCCCATGCTGGATTGGGGTTGCGCCAATCTCTGAGCCTCCCATGAGGGGGGATGAAAGAAAGACGAACAAAGCCTAGACCTCTTCCTTCTCGTTCGTCCTCCCGCGTCCCGCTCTGTCGCCTCCCGCCCACTGGGGAGGGGGGGAAGGCATGGGGAGGGAGGCGCGGAGAGGGGGAGGGCACTAATTGCCCAACATATAGTTGGGTGATACTCAATGCTAGGTCTAGTTGTCATGACAGCAGTTGACGTTTACTCCGCATGTTTCGGGGAGGGGGAGGTGGAGGAGGAGGAGGAGGATGATGTGGTGGAGGAGGAGGAGGAGGAGGACCATTGTAAAGCCAAGAGCCATCAACGATGTTGGAATTAACCCTCCCTCCCAGCTCCCTCTTCATAGACCCATACAACGGTACATTTCCACTGAGGGAATTGCCTCGTTGGAAGACAACCGGTTGAAGACCACTGTTCTGGGGATTCCAACGACACGAATCAATCTGACTGTTGCGCCTTGACGATCCTGAATCGTGCCAGAACGGCATTCCTGGGACCTCAACACCGCGGGGGAGGAGAAGAATCAGGAGGAGAGGGAGACGGAGGAGGAGAAGGGAGGCTCCGCCTCCCTCTTTTTTCCTTTTCCTGCTCCTCCCCCTCATCCTGCTTCTCCTCCTGTTCCTCCTGTTCCTCCTCTTCCTGCTCCTCCTTCCCTCTTCCTCCTGTGCCTCCTTCTCTTTTCCCCCCTCTTCCTCCCCCATCTTCTCCGCGACCATCGCTCAGGCCTACGAGACGCTGTCAGACCCGGAGAAGAAAAAGGCGGCCTTTGCATGGTTGATGCCAGGGGATGGCCAAGTCCAGGGGTCTCAGACATCAGTGTGAGTGGGGGCAGCGCGAGGATGATGACCATGATGATGCTGCTGCTGATGATGTTGATGCTGACGATGCTGGCGACGATGGTAACAATGCTGAGGATGCGGACGACTATGATGATGATTGTGATGATGATGATGATGATGATGATGATGATGATGATGATGATGATGATGATGATAACGATGGTGATGATGATGACGATGATGACGGCGATGACGATCATGGTGGTGGTGGAGGCGGCGGAGGTGGTAATGCTGACACTACTGATGGTGATGCTGCTGATGATGACGATGAGGATGATGATGATGATGATGATGATGATGATGATGATGATGATGATGATGACGATGTTGATGATGACGATGATGATGACAAGGATGAAGTTGCAGACGACTATGATGCTGATGATGGTGATGATGATGCTAATGATGACGATGGTGACAGTGATAACGATGATGGTGCTGGTGGCGGCGGAGGTGGTGATGCTGATACTACTGATGATGATGACGCTAATGATACTGATGATGATGTTGATGATGATGATGATGATGCTGATGCTGATGATGATGCTGATGGTGATAGTGATGATACTGCTGATGATGATGCTGCTGATGATGATGCTTCTGCTGATGATGATGATGATGACGATCCTGTTGTCGTTGATGATGCTGATACTGCGGCTGGTGATGATGATTCTTCTGGTGACGATGGTGCTGTTGCTGCTGGTGATGATGATGATGATGCTGGTGATGATGCTGATTCTGATGCTGATGATGTTGGTCATGCTGATACTGATGATGATGATGCTGCTGCTGATGCTGCTGCTGCTGATGATGCTGATGATGATTCTGCTGATGACTGCGACGATGACTATGATACTGATGATGATGATGCTGATAATGCTGATGATGCTCATGATGCTGCTGATGATGATGATGATGATGCTGATGCTGCTGGTGATGATGATGCTGCAGCTGGTGATTATGCTGATGCTGATGCTGATGATAGCATGCTGATACTGATGCTGCTGCTGCTGACGATGATGCTGTTGATGATGATGCTGATGCTGATGATGCTGATGATGTTGATGATGCCAATGATGACGATGATGGTGATGCTGATTATGCTGATGCTGATGACGATGAGGATGATGGGGATGATGATGATGCTGAGATGCTGATGAACTGATGATGATGATGATGATGATGATGATGATACTGATGATGATGATGATGATGATGATGATGATGATGATGGCGATGACGACGATGATGGTGATGATGAGGGTGATGATGATGATGACGATGATGTTGATTATGATGATGATGATGATGATGATGATGATGATGCTGATGCTGCTGATGACGATGTCGACGACAATGATGATGACGATGACGATGATGATGCTGATGCTGATGATGGTGATGCTGCTGATGATGATAGTGGTGGTGCTGGTGATGATGACGATGCTGCCGCTGCTGATGCTGATGATCATGCCCATGATTCTGCTGCTGCTGATGCTGATTCCGATGCGGATGCTGATGTGGATGCTGCTGAAATGTAGTTTTATGATTCTATGATAGCGGGCATGCTACTGTAGGTGACGAGGCTGAGGACATGTCGAACATTATAGTGATTTGGAACATCATTGGCGATCGTAGCATGCAGTAGGGAGCATAAGGTAGCAGCATGTGTACCGCAGGCATTTGGGAAGTCTTGAAACTCATATCGCTTTGCCATGGTAGCGCAGCGTTTTGTTCTTTAGGGCCTCTGGAAGTGAACCTCACATCTTTCTTCGATCGTACATTGAAACACTGCCTAATCCAGGCAGGTATCGCGGCGACTGCAGAACACATTCATGAAGCATTGCAGCAGTTGCAAGCTTCTGCGGGCAATTTGAGTAAGGTCACAAAACGACGTCCGTCAGCAAAGCAATATTCTGTCTACTCAGCTGGCAGCAAAACTAGGGCGTTCTCACGACTAGTGAAACTGAACCACGACCAGAGAAAACTGAAACACGACAAGGTACAGCTTATTCACGACAAGCAACTTTCGCCACCCACTTTCGCCACCCACTTTCACCACCCACTTTCGCCACCCACTTTCGCCACCCACTTTCGCCACCCACTTTCGCCACCCACTTCCGCCGCCCACTTTCGCCGCCCACTTTCGCCGCCCACTTTCGCCACCCACTTTGTGCGTGGCGAACGAAAGTGGGTGGCGAACGAACGTGGGTGGCGAACGAACGTGGGTGGCGAGCAAAAGTGGGTGGCGAACGAAAGTGGGCGGCGAACGAAAGTGGGTGACGAACGAAAGTGGGCGGCGAACGAAAATGGGTGGCGAACAAAAGTGGGTGGCGCACGAAAGTGGGTGGCGAGCGAGAGTGGGTGGACAGCGAAAGTGGGTGGCGAACGAAAGTGGGTGGCGAACGCAAGTGGGTGGCGAACGAAACTGGGTGGCGAACGAACGTGGGTGGCGAGCAAAAGTGGGTGGCGAACGAAAGTGGGCGGCGAACGAAAGTGGGTGGCGAACGGAAGTGGGTGGCGAACGGAAGTGGGTGGCGAACGAAAGTGGGTGGCGAATGAAAGTGGGTGGTGAACAAAAGTGGGTGGCGAAAGTGGGTGGCGAGGGTGCGAACGAAAGTGGGTGGCGAAGGAAAGAAGGAAAGTGGGTGGCGAACGAAAGTGGGTGGCGAACGAAAGTGGGTGGCGAACGGAAGCGGGCGGCGAACGAAAGTGGTCGGCGAAAGTGAGTGGCGAACACAGGCGGGTGGCGAACGAAAGTGGGTGGCGAAAGTGGGTGTCGAACGAACGCGGGTAGAGATAATTCGTTTCGCTTCCAATTTTCGCCTCGCCTTTCACTTTCGCTTCGCCTCCCACGTTCGCTTCGCCTCTCGCGTTCGCTTCGCCTCCCACTTAGGCTTCGCCTCCCACTTTCGCCTCGCATCTCACGTTCGCTTCGCCTCCCACGCCACGTGCAGGTGCGGAAGAGGAAGCGCGTTCAACCACCTACGCCGAGAGGGCTGGTGGGACTACCTCGCGGGGCTCCGCATCATTCGAAGATTCGTCTCATGCGTCTGAAGCGCCCGCAGTGCCAGAGGAGCAAAACAGGTCTGCCGAGCGTCGCCGAGCTTGCTTGCGAGTGCAGGGCGCTTGGCGCGGCCCGCAGCGAGCGCCGAGCCTGGCTTCGAGCGTGGCAGCTGCGCGCGCACGCAGACCAACACACTGCTGCGGAAGCGGTGCGGCTCTCCAGTTGCCTCTGGCAGGTATCGCCGCCGCGCCACGAGCCCGTGCGATCGGGGCCCAGCGGTTTCCTTTTTACGGCGTTGAAGCCAACGCCTCGTTTGAGACATCCTCAGAATTTGACTTGTGAGCAGAGAAGTCCAAGGAACCAAACAAGCAAGCAAACCACCCGAGACATCCCACTATCTGAGCGCGAACGGGTCGTGCAACCATCCCTGGCGGCCCCCCGTCGGGGTCTTACGCCAGCGCTTTTCGAGACATCCTCGTTATCTGCGAGTCTGGGTGCCAATGAACCTGAATGCGTGTGAGTGCGAGCGTGGATGAGCCTGCGCGCGAGTGAGCCTGTCTATGGATGGTTCTGGGTGGGAGTGGGCCTGAGTGTGAAGGGGTCGGAGTGTCAGTAAGTCGGTGTATGAGTGGAATGAGTACGGGTGAGTCTGCATGTGCATGTGAGCGGGCCTGAGTGTGTTTGAGTCGGATGCGAGTGTGTCTGAGGGTGAGTCTTCGGGCATAGGGAAATGTGAGGGGGGGGGGGTGAGCGAGGCGGGGGCGCCCCAGTAATGACGACAACCCCATATTAGGATATGTGGGGCAAAAACCAAACAGGCAACCCACGGGCATTCCAACGCGCCCTTCCTGCGCGGGTGCGGCGGTGGATTCCTCTGGATCCAGGCTCGCGGGGCATCGGGCATCCGCGCGTAGCGCAGCATCTCGAGGAAGGGAGAAGGAGGATGATGAAGCAGGAGCAGGAGCAGGAATAAGCGCGCGCGCGGGGCTTCGGTCAGGGCGGCGGCGCGCGCCTCGCCCGAGTGGGCCGGATGACCGGAAGGCCGAGAAGGGTGGAGGGGATTGATTCTTGGATGCATGAGTTTTTGCTTTCGGCTGGCCTTGGGGTGCGAGAGGCATGCGGGGGGCCCGGCCCCAGCTCGTTCTTCCGAAGTGTTTGCGTGAGTTTGTGCTTTGGGTTGGCAGTGGGGCGCGAGAGGCGCACCGTGGCCCATCTCTCTGTCTCGGTGCTCTGTCTGTAGTGGAGGCCCAGACAAAAACCGACGCAGACCATTGCGTGCTGTGAAACAGCAGTGGCGACGAGCAGGCTCAGCATCCACGTCGTCGCCACGTGTGCGCGCGTGGGCGGGCGGTTCTATGGCGCGGGGGGGCGCCCGCCGACTGGCGGGGGGGTCGGCGAGGAGGAGGGGGAGGATGAGGAGGTGTGCAAAAAAACGTTTACGTGGTGGGCCTCGGGCAAGCATATGCAGGACGCTTCGCGTAAGTCTGCCAACCCATCCAGCAACGATGCCCAAGCTATTGGTCCTGATCAAGGATGTACAGGCGCAGTCTACGCAGAGCAATCTCCGAAGTGTAAGCTGTGCGATGTCAGCTGAGTAGGCAGTGGACGTGCGCCGATCTATGATATGTGATCTGTGCGGTACCCGGTAGGTGCTGCAATTTTTTCAAGAATGCGTAGCTTTAGAAGTCTTAATGGCACCATTAGTTCTGGTAGAAGGCGTAGTGTTACCAGAGGTCTTCATCTTGAAATGGGCCCGACATTTAGATCATGAGGTCTTGGCATGTTGATCGTGATTTTGCTGTCTTGGCGTTGGCTTCTCGCTATTTGAATACGGGGCAAGATTTTGATTTTGGATGCAGGATTTGATTTCTTGGTCAAGAGATCTTGACCTGCACATGTTGAAATTGATATGG